TTTGCATAACTAATGAAGAATAGAAATACGCTCAAACTGCAGGAATGACGTTTACAAAATGAAACATTCGAATTATCAATATTGAATAAAAAAATAATCGTATGCACTTCTGCAGGCGAAACACAAAACAATTTCAGTAGCATTCTTTATCATGTATATGTTATTCAGGACATGTTCTTCTGTCCAACTGCAGTGTTTGTAAATGATCTGGTAAAATACGATTGAGAACGCTCGATATTTAATTTTTTTTTCTAATGTTGCCAAATTTAATTTAACGATAATCGGTTATCGAACGATTAAGAACGTAATACCTTTTTTTTTTATATACCTCTAGCTGAACAATGATACGGTGATATTTATTGGACCTTTATCGGATTAACCGGATGTTATTAGTAACTTAAATACCATAAACCTATATGAGATACCTACATTATTTGTAGTCGTTGCACAAACGTCAATGAAGTAATCGTTAGTTAATAAAATATATTACGTAGCATATTCCTATTCGTCAAATAATGGACAATAATGAAATTAAAGTTATACAAAATGAACGAAGATCTAGTGTTATTAGATCGTAATAAATATCGTTTTATTCGGAAACGTAAGGACACATGAAATATTTAGAATATGTTAGAATACGCTATCCAGCTATAACTAATTCACAGGTAAAGAAAAATGATTAGTAATCATAGAGCTGGGATTTTAATGCTTTAAAAATTACAAAAACTGCTTCAAAAATTATAAAAAAAAATGCGTTAAAATGTATTCATTATAGTTTAAAAATTATGTGACCAAACATAAAAATATTTAATTATATTAATTTAATATAATAATAATATAATAGGTACCTATTTGTTTAATATTTACATTTTATTTAACTTTATTTAAATTTGATCATCGGTTGACTCTTACATAGAAAAATTTATTTCGACTGTTTTAATTTTGTTTTATTTTTGATAAAATATGTACATGGGCTGATATGCTTGTATTTATAAGTTTATCATTTTAGTAGATTACATACTAAATGCTTATGTTTTGAGTGAACAAACAGTGAAACACGAGTTCAAATACCCTAATATTTAAGAATTAATTGATAAATTCTGAAAAATACTCTAAAAACTTGCAAAATTCCATAAAAATAGCAAAATATGCTATCAAAATGCATATAGAATTTAATTTTTCATAAAATGCAAAAAAATTCAAAATAAAAATAACATAAAATTAATCGGTATCACTTGAAATACATTTTCTGCTTACAGAATTACGTGTTGGAATATTAGATTTGGGAATTTGCATCAAAATCTCAGCCCTAGTCATTACATATTTATTACATATTTTTATAATTTTACATTTTTTATATTTTTTTACACATATTTATTTAACATATGACTTTTTTCTAGAATATTTGTCAAATGATAAATAGTAAATGATATGGAAACGTTGCACTTAAATTCGTATTTATTTTTGGGGTTTTTTTGGGTTATAGCGGTAAGTTCTTTGTTAATTTTAAGTATTCTCAATCGTTCGGTAGTCAAATGCTCGTATTAGTTTTTCACAAACATCCTTTATTAATTATTAATTGTTGTTCTAAAAAAATATTTTGAGAAAAAAGTAGGTATACAACTGTACCGCAGCTGAATATGGAATTGAAACGATAAATATCTTATTAAACTATAGTACTGAAACTCGAGCTTTTCTCTTGTTTGAAAGGGGTTATAATCAGATTTTTAAACGTTTATTGTGTAATAATTAATAATAATAATACAGGGGTCATTTGACGCATTGATCATTGAGAATATTATAGATGTAATACCTATCGTATAAAGACAAGAGAACATTCAACGTGAAACGGCAATCATATATGTCGTGAGATAACGAATCGATGAACGACGTGCGTTTTGTTTGGAAGAAGATATGTACACAATAGCAGCACGCTTTAGGATAGTGCACGGGTGAGATTATATCGCTCGGGTACGTCCTGAACACGATGACAAAACACGAGACCATCAATCGGTCGTATCATACGATTATCGTGGATGACGCTTATAGGATTTACTTTGGGACCATCACCAAGCAAGTTTTATAAATTAATGAATCTTATCGGTGAAGTTGAAAAAAAAAAAACGATTTGAACTTAATTTTCCTTTATTATATTATTTTTCAACTATTTCAGAAATATACTGCTAGTAACAATATTGTATATTAAAATCAATATCTCGACGAAAAAAAGTTTTCCTCAACAGGTCTATATACACTATAATGTCTTTGTTGGTGGTTCAACTACGACGTCAACCATCTCGTCACTTTCGTCGTAATAACCAACACAAAAGTTTTTATTTTTTACATTTTTTCTTACAAAATTTGAGTGTTATTACCGAAGTGGCGAGTCTTTCGACAGCATTTTTTTTTATGTATTTGGATACGACGATTTTGAGTCTTAGGAGTGGGGTCTGCTGCATTAAGTTGATGAATACAACATGCAAGCAGCCGGCGAACGAAAGAAAAACGGAATTGTAGAAAACCGAAGTAATAATTAAACGCCGTGCGACTACCGGATATTTGCACGGCAGCACATGTAACGGTTGCGGGCGGCAATCAACGTTTTGCGGTACCGACACTTGTTTCGCGCTGTAACCGAGTTATCGCTGTTCGTTTTCGATTTCCACTGCATTTGAATACCGACCTCTTATAATCGGTTGAATAAGGAATATTCGCGTTATCACATTTTGGGTACCGTATTCGAATGTTCGCATTCGAAACCAATAGGTCAGACAACAATCCGCCACCTGAAATATTGCTTAACGGCGTTTCCAGCTCAGGAGCGGGTTTTATCACTAACCAAGGGAGGGGCTAATGGAGGTTTAAGAATTTAGTTAGTTGTTTTTTTAAATCTATATAAAATTTTAAACTACAGAATATATTTTTGAGTCCCTCATAAGTTAGTAATTTTTTTCACAATAATGACAAAGCTTAAATAGTTACATTATTGGCATCAATTTTATTCTGAAACCATTTTAAAGTATAGGTAAATACATATAATTAACAACAAAAGTGAGCTATTTATTTATAAAAATAATATATAAAATAGGTACCATATTCATCAATGACCATTGACGATATTTTATTATAATTATTAATATTTAATAATACTTTGCTTTGTAAAATAGATAGCTTAATCCTAAGGAGGGGGCTAATGTCTCCTTAACCACCCCCTTAAACCCGCCTGTGTTCCAGGTAGCGGGTGTGTAGCCGATTCGAAAACAAAAAAAAAAAAAAAAATGACAGACATCAATATACCAAAGATAATTATCTAAATCGATTTTTGAGTTGAATGATTTTTGAGTCTATTCAGATTAAGGCTCGGGAACTATCGGTCCATCGCGGTGGTTAGCGATATTTTCCCGTGGCGGTAAGGCTGTAAAGATAATGAAAATGAAAGATAATGAATTATGTAATACATAATATCGCATTATCCCTGTTACACAGAGGGCGTTCTGTCGCAGTGGTACAATTTAGATCGCAACAACAGATGATACCGTTGTATAAAAATACAAAATTCCACGCGAGCAGCTGTCAATCAGTTGTTATTTATTGGTTTTTTTATATTCTGTTATAAAGTAAATATATTATATTTTTAAAATAGCTGAAGAAACAGAAATGCTCATCGAGCAAGTAAGAAAGTATGTGTACTTATTCGACATATCTCATGAGAAATATAAAAATGTAGTAAAAAAAGCCGAAGCATGGAATAAAATATTCGAAGAACTGGGTATAACCGGTAAGTATATACTTTAAAGTAGAAACTAGAAATATATGTAACATATAGTAAAATATAATAGATTTATTAATAGAATAGACTTCTATATTTATAGCCTTTATGTATCAAGTTTATCCTTTTATTTTTAAGGGCAAGTAATAAAAGAAGTTGTCCCTTGTCAGAACTTGACATTATTGTAAAATGGCGATTATTAAACAATGAAATCAAGTGGACAGATATATGCAACTGCGTACTAGATTACTAGATTACTAGATTATGACTGTTGTAGCAGACCGCTCACAAATTATCGCTGCCTGTGTGCCGTCATCAGATCGCTGACCGCCGCGAGAGACCGCGTTCTGTGTGTCCGAGCCTGAAGTGCCCAAACTCGCGCATGTGACTTAGTCACATGAGAAGCCGATAACGGTCGGACACCCGTCAATATCTAGACGCTCTATGATTCGTTGCCATTCGTCCGACCGCCGTCTTTGTCTATCAAAGTCAGTGACTGCCGCCTTGTATACAGATTATTATTAAAAAAAAAATCTTGTTATTCAAAATAGAACTATGGCGTGGCGTTACGAAAAGAGTGTGGTAATACAGTTCATTACGTATAACAGCGTAATAACGCGCCGACATACTACAACGTTCCTGGTGAAAAAGACATATGCGCAGTAAAAACCAGTTTTCGTCCAAGTGACTGGGCACTTTTATTCTGAATAGACTATACAAATAACGGACATAATACTGTCGAGTAGTTTTGATAAAGAGCAAAAGTTAAAAAACGAAAAATGTAAAGAAAACCATTACCTTATTACTTTTATATTTACATTATCGTTAAACACTATTATTTCGTGTACACATATTATTTCACTTTGGCAACATCAAATACAACAATTATGTGGTATCTGTTCCAAACGAAGAATTTCGAATTTTTTTGGCGGAAAAAAATAATTCCCAATAAACCACGAGTATACGTAATCATCTTTTAACGACCTACGGTGTAGGTTATTATCAAGTTCCAACCCTTAGTATAGTTTTATTTGATTTTTTTCTCTTGCACAGCTACCATAAGCTAGGATATTCATCATCATTTGTGATGTGCAATCAAGTAAACAAATGCATTGTTCGTCCAATACGATAACATGTAGCATTGCAATGGTGTAGAGTTAAAAATGAACGAGTTAAAAAATGAATAAAAATTTAATATGAAATAAAATCATAACCGTACGGTTGTACTGACCGGGTTGTAGACGATACCACGCGGCGGATGGCGATCGCTCTCGACGACGGCCACGTACGTGCCGTTCACGCGACCGTCACCAGGGTGCCCGTCTATCCGCCTGAACTGATACCGAGACATGTGCCCGACCGCGGCCACTCGTGGGTGTGGTGGCGGCGGTGAAGGCGACAGCGGCGGTTGCGGTTGTCCCGTGGTCGGAGCGTCAATCTCTTCGATCTCATAGTTGGCCGCCACGTCGTCGTCGTCGTCGTCCTTGTCCTCGTCGTCATAATCGTAAGGGTCGCCCTCGGCTCCCCCGTCACCCACTCCCATTTCCTTGGCCCTGGCCGCAGCTCTGATGTTCTCCACTGCTTTCAAAATCCACTCGCCCGACGGCCACGACTTTGCGACCGGCTCACCGCGGCCACGGTCCTTGTCGGTCGTCGTCGTCGTCACTGGCACTGGCACTGCGGTCGGCGACGGCCGCATCGTCGTCGATGTCGTCGTCGTGATCGCGTCCGCGGTCGTGGTCTGCACGCTCGTCTCGTCCCGGCCCAACATGCCTGTAACACGCGGTACCGTTAACAAAGCAGTGCGCAATTCAGGAGCTTGTGGTTTGGAGGGGGTATAAGCAGGGCCGGAACTAGAGGTAGAAGACGAGGATTCATCCCCGGGCGTACAATTTTAGAGGGTGTAATTTTTGTAATTATTAACAAATAATTTGATATTTTTAACTTTGTTAAACACTGATATTAGGTTAAAATTCAATAAGTATGATTGTATATTAATTATTAGAAAAAAAAATTGTCGAGATTATTTGATTATTGGTCTATGATAGGGCATAATTTTAACATTTTCCCCGGGCGTAAAAATTCCTAGTTCCACCTCTGGGTATAAGTAACCATTTATTTTTATTTTTATTTTTTTTATTGTGTCGCTTATAATTGAATGTACATATAAATATTGCATAAGACCATTATGCGGTGAGAGGCACTCAAAAACGTTTATTTTTACTGCGTTTGGTTTTTTGCCGATTATTTTTCAAGTCGTATACCTACTGTTTAAATATGTGTTCAAGAGTGTGTCTTTGAGGGTCTTAAACCCTAGATGGTGTAGATGGTATAGGTGTTTATTTATACGTTGGAGTTTTGGACTTCGATTTAGACCATTAGGCTCAAATATTCAAATAATTAATTTTTTTGTTGCGATTGACATTATTTGTAAAACTACTATATTTATAATAACACAATATCATGGATACGATTTTTGAATTGGTCTCATAATATGTTCGCAATCTCTTACGAAAACTTGAAATCGTGCCTGTGCATGCGATCAAAAAAAGCATTGATGGTTGAAGTTGCAGATGACCACGATGGAGATATGTGATTACTGATTAATATACTTAATCCAAACAAAATAATTTGAAACGCATAATAATATATACGAATCCTAAACACCCGTTCAAATTTCTATCCACTTTAGGTCTGTTTTTGAAAGTAATTTTGTGGGTGGATAGTATTTTTCCATTCATTATGCAACCACTATTTATTTTTTAGTGTACGCCACTGATTGCACTGATTGTACTTATCGTACGGAAAATCGTAATCATCGATCTGCTAATGTATGAGAACACTTTTGTTTTGATAATTCTGACTAAAATAATTGTAATTGTTAGGCGCAAGGTGAAAGTGTTATCGAATTCTTCGAGTTAATTAAAATCGATAGACTACCATTATAATTTTATGTAATATTTTCTATTTCAAAATACAAAAATATTTAAAAAGTCCATGCATTAATTAAAACAATATCGCGTATAGTGGTTAGGTAGAGAAAAAACTAATAGTTTTTATCAGGAAACGTCGCAAAATTCAATGTTTCGGTTGAATCGAATTAAAATGTCAACGTTTGATAATTATAAGTAGAGTACAACCACGAATAGTGCTATTCAACAGTCGAATTTGTATTTTATAGAATAACGGTAGAACGTTTCAAGTCGAAATTGACCGACAGCTGGAGTCATAGGAAACCATACACTTATTATCCAGAATTATGGTTTTTTTTTTTTTTACAATTCTTTATACTTGTTACTGCATGCTGACAAAAAAACGTGCACGGATAACAATCATATCACATTTGTTGTTCGACCTGAAGTTAATGAAAAATAAAATAAAATCTTGCACATCAATAAAACAGAACTGTCCACCGCAGCGCTTGATCGCAACGGCAATAGTTACGGCCGCGGGACGAGATTTGTGTGGAAAAATGCGTACGCTGTATTGAACAATTTAAACGTAGTCAAAGACAGCTGCAGTTGGCGTTCGATACGTACATGAGATTCTGCCGATAATAAAATATTGTGCGACTCGAGGAGATTGTTTGGATAAGAAATGAATCGAAATCGAATTTCAGCGTATACGGAGAATAGAATACAAGTAAAAACCCACACGCGATTATTCGACACTTACAACTGCGAATCATGTCACATTACATAACATAATATAATGTTAATCATAGTAAAAACGACTAAAAAAGACTAATAAGACGACTGACTCTTCTATCGTACGGCAGTTATTTGTTATTGTTGTTTTGTGCGATACGTAACGTAATACAAAAATATTACTGATTTTGTAGTATTATACAGCCAGTAGTTTTTCAGTTAATTATAGTTGTTTCATTATCATAATAAGTTTTTGCACGAATGTTTGCAAAAAATTTTGTTTTATTTTTTCTATTAGGAAACAATTTATTTTTTACTAAATATTATAGAATAAATTACATTTAATTTGAGTTAAAAAACGGGCTCTTTACTATTGTACTTGAAATGTAGGGCTCCACTTTTTTTTCTTTTTTTTTTTATATACTCCACAACCCATTCAGGGCATACCTGACAACCATAGTACGCATATGGCAATAAGTAGGTACATGCATATTTTATTCAAATGTATATATATATATATATATTAAATCGCACCTTTATAACCTAACATAAATAATATACTCGATCGAGCGATAAATAATATGCAGCATCATAGTTTTTGTTAATGCGTTTATAATTATTTTTATGTATTATAATTTCCTTTTACTTAAATTAGTTTAACTGTAAATAAAGGTCCATTTAAGGGGGAAATATATGTTTCAATCCGAAAAATTTTACGATCATGATTTATAATGGTTTTGTATTTACATTTATTTCGTTTCCCGTCATCCGAATAATAATTACCAATGTTGTGAATGTATAAATCCATTTGATCCAAAATCCATTTGCAAATTTATCAGCAATAAAATCAAGGTTCTAACAAACGACAACAATAGTTTATTTTGTTATTCCGGAAGGATTGATTGAATCAGAAAAAAGGTTTGTGAAAAATTTTTTTCTGGTATAATACACTGATTGAAAATTTGTGTATAAATTTGTCATTTTACAAACGGAAATGAATAACTTATCGAAGTTTAGGGCAGTGTACTTATTTTTTTTTAAATTTTTTTTGTGAATAGATAAATGAAAAAAATATTCATGTATTTTAGTAAAAGTGCTGTAGGTAATACACAAAATATACTTCAAAAATAATGAGAAATATCTGAAAAAAATTCAATCGTTGAACTTAAAGTGTTTGAAAATCGAAAGTATGTTTTTAATCATTTCGCGTTTTGTTCCAAGTCTTGAAAAATGACGGTATATCGTATTAAATTAAAAACAAATTTATAAGTGATTTATTTGTATAGCAATGATAATAATATTTAAAGGATTTGTGTGCAGAGATGGTTTGAATGGTACAGTTAATAGACTTGTATTAAAAATTTAGTTCCGTAGAAATTTTTTATGTTTAAAATTATATAAATTTAACCAACAACTATTTTTTTCACTTTTACGGCTGGTTTTAATACTTCAGATAGAAATAAATCGGTTTTTATCCTGGGAGGTCAATAATTACATTTATATAGAAGTATTTAATCTAAAATGTTGTTGGTTTTGGTAAGTTTTCCAGAAATGTTTGTATCATCGGAGTTTGTAAAAAGTAATTATTATAGTAATGAATATAGGCATAGGATAATTGAACCATATAGAACTATACATATTTCACATATACGTTTCTGCTTGGTGCACTTATTTTCATGTTTTTTTAATTGTTTCAAATTTTTGTTTTTCTTGTAACTTTACTTATTAACATTTTATTATTTTATTCACTAAGAAAACTTACAAGCTATTTTTAACCAAGCACAATATGCAAATTAAAAAAAAAAAAATATGTAACAAATTATTTCTATATGTATGACAGAAAGGGAGTCTATCTAATGACAAAAACCTTTAGGATTAACATATCAATCAGTAATAATTTATTTGCTTAATTTCATTCAAAATATCTCGATATCAGCGCCTTTTGAGACGAAGAGGGTAGTCAGATAGTTTGAGATAAAATAAACGGGATGTAAGAGGTTGCTTAAGTTAAATGTAATATAAGCCTTGTAATAAGTATACTTATGTACAAGAATTCGTTAAATAAAATTGCTTGATGACATAATATCTATACATAACTTTGTGAATTATTCGTCCGGTTGTTTTCCGTTTTAAATATAGTTTATCAGTATAACGTATCAATATATATATTGATTCTAAAGGCATCTAGAGGGAATTGAGTTGTATCAAAGTTTGAGGAGTCAAAAAATAAAAAAATAAAGCGCTGCACTACCCAGTGTACTGAATTCGATTTACTGACTGTAAAAATTAGAGCCGTTGAAAAAGTTTTATATCGTTTATGTGCTAGATAACAAAATCGCGGTAATACGAAAATCCCGCGGAGGGACCATAGTTGTTTTTTCGAGTTGTTTTTCAATTTTGTTTTCATCAAATTGAAAATAATTTGAAACCCATTTTCCCCCTCTAAAATTCTTTTACTTATAAGTTGGATAATAATAGGTTTGAAAATTAAACACCCCAAAAACCTACAACGATAAATAATGAGAATGTAATATGAAAACGATGGGCATTGTGTTGTATATTGTTATACATAAAAGTATTAATATACCGTTGAATAAAAAAAGGGGGAAAATGTCCATTTTTTATCGAAAGTCTGTTTAAAAGAAAACGTCTAAAATTTGATTTATAGTACAAAGATTTTTTATTTTATTACATATGTTTATTGTTATGTTAAACGATCGTACTCGAAAAAAAAATTGTAACTTAATCGATTCGACAAACGGTTTGTAGTATTGTATATTGCCATTGGTAAATATAAATATAAATATATACTAATATATATATATATATTTGTTAAGAATTGATTTTGAATGTAGACACACTCAAAAATAAATATAAATTGATGCTTATTTGTTTTATTAACGGTTTTCGTGTAGTCATTATAAGATATTTATACGGACCTATAAAGTTGTATTAACCTTTGTTAAAAAAATTTGATTAAAAAAATGTAAATCATTGTTTCACGAACGAAGAAAAACAGCTACGTTCAATAAACAACACATATGTGCCTAAGTGTGGCGTTGTAATTTATTAATATATTTTTAAAATTTGTGATAACTTTAACCTTTTTACATTCCTATTCGAGTG